TATCTATCTATCAAAATCTTGCAGAAGTTGCTCATCTATCTATCTATCTATCTATCTATCTATCTATCTATCTATCTATCTATCAAAATCTTGCAGAAGTTGCTCATCTATCTATCTATCCCTCCCTCCCATCCATTTATATAGCCGCCCATCTCACACAAGGTGACTCTGGGTGGCGCACCACAATTAAAAAGAATAAATACATAAAAACAATTCACATAAAAAACTAAAAACACACAAAAGAGGAAGGGATAACATTAATAAGGGAGCCATCGCAAAATGCCCCGGCCCGCTGGGAGCCCCGGGCCTAATCCCACAGCCAGGTCTGGAGGGACTTGCGGAGCGCCAAGGGGATGGAGCTAATCCCGCTGCCGGGGGAGAAGGTCCGCAAGGCGGGCGCCAGGCAGAGCATCTGCCTTGGGAAGGCTTCCGAGTCCGGCCGCCGGCTGGGCGTCTGGGCGCTTCAGCGGAGGGCAGGCGGCAGCGAGCCGACTCACAAGAGGAGCAACTTCTGCAAGAGTTTGGTTCAGCCCCACGGCAGCAGCAGCACCGGGGGGCGGGGAGGGAGGGCAAGGGGACCACTTCCAGAGGGAAACAGCCTCTGGTTCGCATGGGCGACATCCCTGCACAAGAGGCGCTCTCCTGCGGATTCGAAGGGCGCTCCCTTTTCCACCGAAAGTCTTCCGGGAGACGCCAGACCCCAACATCTGCCCTAAAACCTTAGCGCCCGTTGCATTCTGCTCGCTGAGATCCCAACCCTGACCAAGTTTTCTTTCTAGTTTTGGTTCCCACCAGGCGGGCAAGGTGAACATCAACGCAAGGACGGAAAATGGGCGACCAACCAGGGCGGTAGTTCACAGCATGATGGTTGCAAAGGAATATGAGCAACGATCGCCCGCGCCTCTTCCACTGTGTGGCCTTTGAACTCCACCGCTTGCCCCGTTTTTGTTTTAAATACCCGATGAAGATGCACACCTTGGATCTGGAATGCCCCTGTTCTTTTGCAGGATTGCTCAGCCCTGGTGTAAGCACGCGATTTTGTGCGTCTATTTTACTCCCTTTATCTACTCCTATAGTTCCTTAGTAAACTCAAAGCTTTAAAAGGCTGGCCCAGAGCGTGGCGGGATTTGTAGTTTGTACGCCAGGAGATATCTCCTTCCTTCCAGCTGGCGCACGGCACGCAATCCTTTCTGGGAATTGTAGTCCTGGGACCCGCTTTGTTATGGCCGGGGAAAGGGAGGTGCTCTTTACCCTGCATCCTCTGCGTGCAGGGACTGCCTCTTTTCCTGTTGCTAAGCGACCGTAAAGGCGGTAAGTTTGGCCTGGGGTGAGCGGGAAGCGTTTCGGGGGGCTGCGGAGAACGAGTGTTGTGGGGATTGGGTCTGGGGCGAGAAGGGTTGCGGAGTTACGCCCGACGGCGGTGCCGCTGCATCGAACCTGGAGTGGCCCGCAAACCCTTCTCCGGGCAGGAGGGACGACACCTCCCATCATCCCCGTCCAGCGCAGACGTTGCCTGGGAATGATGGAAGCTGCAATCGCGCTCGGGAAGGGGCCGAGTCGAGGAAAGCCGTGGGAATGTGCCCACTGTTGTGGGGAAAATAGGAGGCAGGAGTAGTAGGTATGTTCACCGCCTTGAGGAGTAGGAGTATGTTCACCGCCTTGAGTTACGTGTAAAAAGCGGGATAAAACAATAATCAAAATAATCCTGCCCCCCTAAGGTAGTATTGGGTTATGCTTATCAGGGGAATAAACTCAATCCTCCTCCTCCTGCCTCCCTAAGGTTGTGTTGAGTTAGGCTTATCAGGGGAATAAACCCAATAGTAATAATAATAATACAACAACAACATCTGGAGCACCACTGGAGCACCAAATCACCAGTCAGTTGCAAAAGGCAGCTTTACTTGGAACAGCTTCCATCCTGCAATGATACCTTTCACACCATCAAACAACATCTGCCTATCCCAGGTCCTTGGGAAGGATTCAATAGGTGGATTAAAATGCCAAATCCAGTCCAAACAACTGGCTGGCTTTGTGATCATCAATAATAATATAATCCTGCCTCCCTAAATCATTAAGACCAGAAAAATAATGATAGTGAATCATGCCCTTCATCTATGCAGCGAAGCTAACAGACACTAATTTACCAAGGAGCAAAAATAATATAATCCTGCCTCCCCAAGGTTGCATTGGGTTAGGCTTATCTGGGGAATAAATCCCATTAAAGAGAGGTGAGCCTTGCTTTGGGGTTTGGCTGGACAGGAAGAGAGGGTTCCTGTATCAGCCTGCTGAAGAAGTGCCCATTGGTGTTGGAATGCAACTGGTATCATCTTAGCCTGCTTGCAGGGCTGGAGGATGTCCAAAGCATAGCCCAACAGTGGTGCCTCTCAACGGAAGGGAAACTCTCATGCTATGACATGAGATACCTGATGACACCTGGAAACCAAGCTTTTAAACCTAGTCGCTCACCGTGCCAAAGAGAACTTTTTTTAACAATATAGATTGAGGTCCAACACAGTAGATAAGGACAGTGATGAAAAATTTGAAGTCAAATGTGGCAGTGAAAGATTTAAGGGCATGATAGCTATAGGGAAAAGCTCTGTGGTGCCCCCCGCTTCCTTGGTGCTCTAAGAAGGTGCTTATTTTGTTTAATGGTTAATCCAGGGCTGCCTGCATGCCAGTGGTCCAGTTGGCTGCCTGTGGTTGGAGATGATGGGAATTGTAACATAATTCTTCTGAAATGCTTCTTGCTTCAGACTGTTCTGTCTCTTTAAAAAGTTCAGCTCTAATGTTATTTAGAACTCCATCCTTTGCCTCAGATGCTGCCTATACCTCTTAAGTGTTCACAGGTGTGATAGTGGGTCAGAGCACTTACCTCTTTTTCCTCCCTCTTAATTCTCTCCTTCTTCAAGCTTTGAATAGTTTCTTGCTTTTTATGTCTCAGCTGGTGACAATGTTTGGAAGCTAAGCAAGGTTGGCGCTGGCTAGTACTTGGATGGGAAATCTCTAGGAAATACTAGTGCTATAAACAGAGAGGTAGGGAAAACATCCTGGAGACAGCAACTGCTTCCATCTTATTGCCACAAAATCTGTATGGACGTGTCTGTGAAGCCCAACTTTCTTGGGCTTCTTGTACAAGTTTCATCTGTAGACATATGTATCTGATTTAATACTGTGAAAAGATTGATCTGTAAACTTTGCAGATAAAGTTGCTATAAAAGCAAGCAAAGCACTGGGTTTGTGGGATTTTTGGTCAATAATCTTGTCTTAAATTGGGACCAGCTGACCATGACTCTAAAACTTGACTATCTGGGAATGTTGCAGAACCTTGCTTAAGCCAATTGCTGGCCTGGAGAATTTAAAATTATGGTGTGTTTAGTATTCTTTAACCTGCTCTGAATTTTAAAACTCTTCAGTATTAAAATAATGGTGGTGCGTTGCATTACTTTTAACAACTTTCATATACAGTTCTCTTTGTATTTTAAGTTTTGGATTCCTTATAGTTTCAGGGACTCTGAGCTATATAGATTAAATTTGCACAAGCTGATTTCTTTCAGGGTTGCTAACTCCTTTTTTTGGTAGCATTTGTTTTGCTAGGTTTAGATACTGTTCTGATCATGACTGACTGAGCAGAATATAATTGAGCAGGTTTCTGTGACTTTCCCAGTTATCCAGAAATCATAAATTACAGGTAGTCCCCGGGGTTAAGAATGCCTGGGTTACAGACAGCCCGTAGTTAAGAATGGAGCCTATTGTAGCAAAAATTGAGTTAAATCCACAATGATTCGAGTTAAATATACTGTACAATTTATACAGTTTTATACAATAATACTGTTCTGGTTTACATATGCATTCAACTTAAGGACAGAGCTTGGGAATGGAACTTGTTCTTAAACTGGGGAATACTTGTACTAGCATGGAGATGCAGTGATTAAAAATGTTTCACTGGGTGATTTTTTTTTTTTTTTTTTTTTACTATAACCCTGATATCAACATCCCAGGTCAAGTTATGTGACAAAGGAATCTAGGTCTGTTCCCTTTACCAGTGGTTGCTAAGTTTTTTGTATGTGAGAAATATTCATACACACAAGTAGTGTGGGGTTTCAGTTGCTTTGAAGTTTAGCTTGGGCTAGAGATGATCTCTGAAGGCATGCTGACGTTACATGCATAATGCAAATTATATAATCTGCACCATTCCCATCATGGCTCAAATGCCGTGCTGTATGTGCATGTGATGTCTTGCCCTTCACCACCCCTTGCAGATGCTCTGAAATCAAATTGTGCTAATTACTGTGTGGTTTATATTCTCATGAGCCTGTATAGGACTATGGTCTTCAAGCTTATCTTTTTGCAACAGTAGTTCACTATTGCATTCAAAATAGCTGTCACTTGGACATTGAGTAATAATTCTGAACCTTCCTGGACATTTGGCCTTTTAAAAGGTCAGGCCGATGAAGCTGAGACTTGGAGGCTGTATTTCTGTTCTTAGCACAAATTGCTAATTGGTGCCATCTTGGAAGTAATCATATTATTCTGCTGGTAAACTGGAAGTGTTGTTTCTTTTCAGGCTATTTAACATAAACTTTTGAGACCTTATTTGCTAGGCTGGGCTAAGGCATCTTTATCAATCCTTCTCATAGTTTCTGGGAATACATAAATTCCTGTTTCTCATATCAATGCAGTGGAGCTGCTTTAAATGAGCCTTGTGGATTCAGATCCTGTATGATGTTCTACATAGCTGCTTTTGTATCTACTGCATGATTGCTGCTAATGAGACTAGGATGAATACTTTGGACTGTAGTAAACAATGCCTGGGTTTTACTGAAATGGAAGTCCAGCTTTCATGTCTTTGAAGCATCCAAGTAACCACTTGGCTTCTAAGTGGAGGAAAGCAGCATGGTGTTATTTCCTTGATTCATTAAGTTTTTCTATAAAATTGAAAAAGGCAAGCAGATTTAATGTTACTCTCACATTTAATTGTCAAAGAGATTTTTAATTCTGACTGCACTAAGGTTTTTTTTATTTTTGCAAATTGTTTGTTTTTATATCTGGATCTTTATAAACATAATGGTCCCTCTTTCCCCATTTTTTAAACTTATTAAATTCATATTACTGTTTAGGTGATCGTAAGTTATGCTTATATGTAACAGCTAAAACACTTAAATACTCATAATACAGCTCATAATACAGCTATGGGTGTGTTTCAGGAATAAAATATGTTTAGGTAATCTTCCCTAAATCTGCAAACAATTAATTTAACTGCTAGAAATGAACATAAAAAGTAATTGTCTGGTTAAGAGAAACATAATAATCCTTGCCTGTAAAAGAAGCAAGTTAGATATTACCTAGGCCTTGGATAAGAGACAGTAGGATAGTTAATCTGGAAGATCTCCCATATCTAATAATCACTAAGGTGAAATATGATTGCCTTAAGGAAAAGATTGGTCTAGATTAGATTTCACACAATGAAGTGTTGAATTTGGCTACTGGCTGAAATAGTGTGTGATGTTCTGATGTGTTTGTAAGTGCTTACCTAGAATGATCCCACAAGAGGAGAAATCAGACAGAAGATTTTTTTTTTCTGTTTCATAAATGCTGATAATTGGAATTTCTGGCACCAAAAAGGAGAAGCCAAAAAACATATAAGAAGACCCCATCTGGAGAAGGCTTATTCTAGCCTGAGCAGGTGCCATGAAATGAACCACAAGCTATTAGTTTAAGTCCCATCTGGATTGGAGAGTTTTTCTTCTTTGTGCCACCATATTAAAATGCAAAGCCAGTCTGAGTGCCAAGCCACAGAGGCATTCTTTAAACCTGCCAACCTAAAGACACCCCTTTGAAACCAAGCCTAAGAACACTGAGGCAACCTCAACTCTTTGGCAACGCATGACAAGTTCCATGTTTTCCTACAGAACTGGCGGTTGGGTGAAAATAATAAGTAGCTCTCAAGAAATACAAGAGTGATAAGTTTGGGAAGGAACTGAGGCTGCCATCTTTAGCTCGTCAAGCCTGAGCTAGCAATGCCAGTACTGCCTGCACAAATGATGGATTTTCTGCTTCCATCTTCTGGAATTGGAGGGGCAGGTTAATGGCCTGTTTTTCAAAGAATGTGTAATACTTATCAGCTCTGCTTATTTCACACCGAAAAGCCTATGGGAATTCCTGCCTTCATGCTGTGTTTAATATTGTACTTGCTTTTATTCTTCGGCTTTGGTGTGCGGTAGAACCATGTAGATGCCCTGGTGCCTGGTTCATTCATCAGTGTTTGATCCAGACACCGCGGGTGGCAGGAGTTGGCACTAAACAGGAGCAGTGGCAGAAACGGTCCAAGAAAATGTGTGTGTTTTGTAGAGTGATCTCAGAGGAGTCTGTAGCTGGGGAATTGTGTAATTTCTGCTGTCTGTGTGGATGTTAATCTTGCTGAATTCACATGTCTGGCACATTTTAAAAAACATTGTACTGAGAATGTATTGAAAATGGGATTGCATTTCTCCACAACACTTTAAGAGAAGAAATTCTGGAATTTAGAAGGACTTGTGTTCTGCTGTCGCCTAAGTTTATTTATTTATTTATTACCTTTATATGCCTCCAATCTCCCCCAGAGGGTGACTCTGGGTGGCTTACAATAAAAACATAAATATACACATTAAAATAACTAGTAACAATTCTATATAAAAACCTATACACAATTCAAGATGATGGGGGAGCAGTATCAGTCATTGTTGTTGTTCAGTCGTTAAGTCGTGTCCGACTCT